CTTGTATTGCTTCACACGTTTGTTGATAGTTCCTTGTTTTTTAGTTATTAGCGGAGTTATTGCGGTGAATATGCGACATATTTTTCAGAGCAGGAACATAAAAAAAGATTTTACACACGCACCATATGGATGTACATCTACATTACGTGTACGTTTTGCATCGCATCGAAAAGTAATGTCTAGTACGTGAATCAGTGAGTATAAATCAATAATTCCATAAAATAATAAATGTTCCCAATTTTCTACCACAGTTCCATTAGGTTAGTCTGCCGAGCAACAAACGCAATTTGATTGGCATCTTCGTCTTATTAACCTGTGCCCTTTGAAATGGCAAATAAAGAATGATAGATTAACCTGTCACGGTGCCCTGAGGGTTATACTACTACAATGCTGACCCGATTGACATGGGGTCATACTCGGTAGTGGCGACCGCATTTCGATGCAAGCGGAATGCTAGAGGCCCGTGTCCTGAGATTAGGTGCACGTTTAAGGACACCAGATCGTCGATATTTCCGCAGCCTCTTACTACGACATCCCACAGTCATATCACTGTTTTGAAACGAAAAGGCTTAACAATTATTGTAAAGAATGATTGATTGGTTTTCTTTTCTTTCAGATGGCTTCGTTTCTACTTCCTTGGCGTTCAGGGGTCAATAACTGCAGTGAGAAAGGCGAAGTCTACTTTGTTAAGAGAGCTTTTCACGAGGATGTAATTACAGATGGCAAGCGAGAAAAAATGTCAGCCGCTAATTCTTGTCCTCCAATACCTCCGAAATTAGGTGAGCAGCGGTTCATTTCCATTTTAAGTGTTGTCGTTAAGTGACACTGAAACATTTTACCATCCCACGTTCTTCGACAAGTACCGTTTCGAGATCGCACTTAAAAAATTGGAAGCACCTAGTAAACAATAAATTTGATCGTTATCACACTCATCGGGCACAATTAAAACATTACGGCATATTGACGGAGTGCATGATCATGAGTGTGGCGAAGCGTCCATGCGCCTTCCGTGTGCTCATGCTTCCACCCGTGCGTACATCCGTCTGTGTGTCCGGTCGTGCGCCTGTCGGTCCGCTCCTCGGAATCCTGCCGACGAGCACGAGCTGCAGCGGCCTTCCGCACCCGGCGATCCTCGTCGTCCATGCTCCACAAAGAAGCACGATCTGGCAAGTGCCCTCGTACGGCGATGATCTAGAATAATGCAGGATATGGGCGCACCGGCTGAACCACACGCAGCACGCGCAACAGCCAATCGAAGAGCAGCTGCATCACCAACGCCATCTAGCGTACCTTCACGCAACTGCAATATTGTGCGCGTGTGTGTAGGACAGCGCTCTCACAGAAACGAGACAACAAATAGAATGCGTACAACGCTATCTAGTATATCGTCACCCAACTGCAGTTTGCATGCATCTCTATAGGACAGCTCCATTATAACATGAGAAGGGAGACACTTTTGGGTACAGAGGATGGTTGACTGACACCCGACGCCGCTCGACAACCAGCCACGTCTCCCATAAGTAGCTTGCCCTGTGGTCTCGATGTGGAGAGAGCACCGCTCTCAGAGTGAAGGGACACAGTAGGCGCGGTATAAACAAACCAAGCCAAATACATTTATTTAACTGCATTCAGAAACGACGATATCGTCAGCCGAATTATTGTACATCAATTGCAATCATCAAACTAAGCAACCTTGCACAATAATTACGCAACACTCAACAGCATAACAAACACAATGCGGCATCGCCAACGCTCTACTCACCACAAGGGCCCCTGGCAGATGGACCACGGTGGCGTGCACCGGGGACCCACGCGAGAGACAACCGGCCGCGCCAACTGCCACGTGCCAAAGAACAGACTCGCTCAACTCACTTGTGCCGCCACCAAGGCTTGCGCCAGGAGTCACCGCCAGTGCTATCGATCTAAGCTTGATGATGATAGTGGTGACCAACGCTTGCGAACACAACGCCACCTACCACTCAATAGTTGTGATCCCGAATTACCGCTTCTTCGCGAGACACGCGCGGCGCGTGGCGCAAACAACTTTACAAAGAGTGTCAGCACCCCCGCAGCCCCTAAAAATTATTCCTTCTCGCTTTTGGCGTGCACATAAGGTGTGTACCCCGAGGTCGTTCGAAGCTGCCATCGCGTAAAAAATGCACTAAAAACCTAGGTTTGTTTCCTGTCTGTTTGTATTCAGAAGCACACTGAAAACTGGTAATCATAGAAAAACATGGTGTGTGTACGTAACGTGAATATCTCTGTGTTAAAGATAGATGCTGTTCTGTGTTGAAGTTGTCCGCGTTAACTGATTTTGTAGCATCATGATACAATCAAAATGGGAAAGCGTAAAATGTAAAACAGTACAATAGAATTAGCACGCCAAATTTTCGTTATAGAAATACGGGTATGTGTAGTAGAAATTATTCCCATTTATCGAATGAGCTTTCAGTCAAAACTGCAGATAAAATATATAAGACGAAAAAAAAACAAGCAGTCATTGTTGCTTTCTAGAGTTACAAATCAGGAGGATGTTGTTCATGAAAGTCCGTTTGTTTCTCTGGGAACAACCGTGCAGACATTTTATGGTACAGTGTAGCTATAGTTGCAATGAACAGTGCCCTGAGATCATCAATGATGTGAAGTTGTAGTGCACTATGTCTAAAAAAATGGACTTGTTAGTATATGGCGTTACGGAGTTGATACGTAACGTAACTATTTAACATTAACGTATTTTGAACTATACGCTACCAAACGGTACCCTTACATCGGTAGGTCGACCTCTCAGGTTATAGTGCTGCTGTGAAAAGGCACGCCTTGTGAAACAAAAACTGGCTAGGACAAAGAAGTGTCAGGTGCCGGTACCACCATTTTATTAAACAGTATACGTCGCCAACAGTTTGTGTGGGCAATTATCCAGGGTGCCATTTTAGTGTGCTAAAATGTTCAAAGCATTCCATAACATGGGCACCAGTTTCTTTGTATCTTGTATCTACAAATTTTCTAAATGGGTTTGTTAACTCGCAAGTTGAAAAAAAAATGAATCAGTAATCAGTATTGCAGTTTCTTGGACGGCTTTCTCACATGAGAAGACGTCAATGCATGGCTTGGGGAGTTTGCAAGAGGAGGGCGAAGTTTTCGTTTTTTTTTCAGGTGCACGTTTTTCACGCAGACGTTTGTTCTTACTCTTTTCGGAGCTGTCGGTATCTGCTATTGAACCATGGAGATTGCACGCGACTGCCCAACAGCCCAAATAAACCTAGTGTGTCGTTCGGATCAAATGCGTCTCTTGCCACGCAGTGGCGCCACGTGCCTCGCACTAGAGATAATGCCGGGAGCCACACTCGTGCACAGGAATCACAATGCGAGAGAGTGATCGCGTTTGAAACCGCGTGATTAAAGTCATGCCTCACCCTGACGTGACTTCATCCCTCCGTTTCATAAACATACGCGTAGCTTCCAGCGGCGCCCGCCGTAACGAGACAATGAAGAAAGCACTTAAACGATTCGATAAATCTCTATGACTGTATATTTAAAACACGTGCGTGTTTTGCTTTTCCAGGTTTCTCATCGCACCCTCCCTGTCGGCATATTTCTTGCTGTCTAGTTTTGCAAGACCAATATAATTAAAGTCGCAGTCTGCGATAGCATCTGTCACGTGCGTTCGCTCTAAGTATGGAGAAAGAAGCATTGTCATTTCATCACTATCATTTTCAAGCTCACTATCACGTTATGTGAAAGATATATTCATAATCATGTGTTAAGAAAGAATTTAAAAAGTGCTTTTTTTTCAGTGTATACCTGCCACCTTTTGTTAATTTTGTAAAGTTCTTTTGTGCGTTTGGAATTCTTGACGTGCTAACCTGAACATTCAGTAATGTTCTTATAGCTATAAGCACTTCTGAAACGTCTATGCTATTCCTTGTTTGTAATGTAGTTTTACATTGCCTATGGTTTGTAATCTTGGGACCTCCCGCATATTTACCGGCAATGTACATTTTGACGCCACCAATACAGCTTTTTTTTATTGAAATATTGAAATAGGAGAGGTTGGTTTCATTATGGTAGTACCGGCTCGTCCTTCACACGTAGAAGATAAAATATGTCGTAAGAACTACAAGAAGGGCACAGATGCAATATAATAGAACACACGAAGTGAAAGTACGGTACAGCCTAACTTTTCACGAGTTCAGATACGGCTAATTGGTTCATACGTACACACGTACACAGTGTACATGGACAAGATTGATTGAGATTCAGAAACTCTTGTCGCTTTTCATGAATTAAAGAAACTTTAAGGCAAACCATTCGCGAGGCTTTTGACTCCGATGCTTATGCCATGCCGTCATTTTTGGAACAGTGGTTAAAGATCCCTTTCACGCCTCCTGGTTGATAGGGGCACTAAAAAGCAAAACAATTTATCGCGTATTTGTAAAGTACTATTTAACAGTCCCAAAGACAATACCTTTAGCACGAGAAGACGCTTAGTAATAAAAAAAATGCGCGAAAAGAAAACTTGGGAAGACACCGCTTCTAGATTCTCGCATAAACACTGTCACAGAATAAACTGAGATGTCGTCTAGTGGGCTCTACATAGCCTGTAACTGATAAAAAGGAAGTACACTGCCATCTGTACACGCCGTAGACCAGGCATAACAAGTTTTAGAAATTTTCGTTGAGCGCATGTTCCAAAAATGAGAAATATATGTTCTGAAACCAGTGACAATTAGCAATTAGGCTTGGGTACGAAATTTAAAAATGAAACTCGAACCTTGATTTTGTCCGCTAAGAAGAAAAACATGATGAAACTTCAGAGAATAGTGATCTCAGAGGACAGTTTATCAATCAAAACCCAGTCATTGTTTCACTTCACTGTCCCTTTAAGAGGTTCTGGTGCGATCTCTTCAAGTCGTTGAAGAGAAGAGTATACCACATTAGTTATAGTTTATAACTAACTGCAACATTTGATAGCTACTTACCTTTTCTTTATTTCAGTCGGAGAAATCCGCATAAATATGGACATTCCGTCTCTCCAAGCGGTAAAGGATGAATTCCCGGATGTAATGCCAGGAGGTCGTTTCCGGCCAAAAGAGTGCACTTCGAGACACAGGGTCGCCATACTGGTTCCCTACCGTAATCGCACCGAGCACCTCAAGATATTCACCTATAACATTCACAGGGTGCTCTCTCGGCAACAGATCGACTACGGCGTCTTCGTAATAGAACAGGTGCGGTAGTTTAACGTCATGGTTTGTAGCTTGAACGGGTTCGCATGTATCGGTGCCTCGAACCATGCTTATTAAAGCTGTTTGTTGAAGACTAGGAAAACATTTAGGTTACTGAAAACCTCCTCTGATAATGATTAAATTTGTGAGAATACAATCTTCCAAATTCAACCCAAGGGTAATCTGATTGGTCGATTATTAATGTAATCTGGCATGCCTTATTATTTAGGAAGTCATAATATGAGAATTATTATAGACACAAAAATACACACAGCGAAGAAATGCGAAAAAGCAGGCTCTGAAATGCTACTGAAATGGCATGACGCCTGCTTCCGCTATAAAAAAGGAGACTATAAATAGCTCTTTAGTGAAAATAAGGTTGACAGAAACGACGGGAAGAACATTGCAAGCTGGAGCTTGAGCTCATTGATACTTATTGTGATGTCAGGCCTTGAATATAGCGCTGAAGTTTTCAAAAATATTAACGCGATTGAGTTAAAGAGCTCATTTCACAGAAATACGGGTGTCGTCATAGGCGTCGTTGGTTGTGAGTTAAAAATCATCATCTTTTCGTGGCCAAAAAATCCAGAATTATGCAAATAAATTAAATAATAAAAAAACTTCGAGCCTGAGTGGCAATCAAACCCGTGTCTTTTACGTGGCCAGCGGGTGTTTTACACAAGTGTGAATACGTGAAAATAGCTTACGTAGTCTAGAAGGCGCCTCAAATGTAAGACATTTCTGGAGCCATAGACTATGGCGTCTATCATTAGCATATCGTGGTTTGTTTGGACGTGAAACCCTAACAAGCATACACTACGTGAGCTGAATTCATCTTGACATAAATGAGGAGGAACTTTTGCATATTTTGTGCCTTAGTGTCTCCATACGTGTACTAAAAAACAGTTGCGGGTGGGCGTGCGTGATGCGCATTCTTTACTGCGCCTAGTATCTCTTCATTTATATGCGCCCAAAAATTTTATTAAAAATTTTCGCGTGTTATTGATCATCGTTTTTGCGTGTTCGTGTGAATCTTTGTCTTCGTCTGTCTTCTTGTGCGTGCACGTTACATTATCAGGCTCAATTTATTTGAAACAAGTTGATTTGGATGTTTTTGTTTCACATAAACATGAATGGAAGTATCGAATACAGTATCACTTCTTTTTTACTTGTTTCTACATATGACGAACGCCATTGCTTGGCAATGTGTTGTTTGTTTTTGTACATTTCACCTCAAAAGCTTACGATTACCTAGCAAGCTGTCCCGCGCATCTGTGTTGTATTATGTATGTCCTGCTCAAAGTGCAGATCCTTTTTAGGGTGCCGATTTGTTTTATTGTGTCGTATGCTGAGATCATATGCTGCCGCTGTATTTTGGCATACCACAAGCAAAACCGCCCATAGCATAGCCAGCTACAGGATATTGAGCGCGAGTACGTCAAAGGGACGTCTTTTTCCTCTTGTTCTTCGAGAACCTGCTTTATATTATTCATGCATACGAATCTACATATATTATGGCCAAATGTAGCATAATAGGTTCGCGCTCATGCCAAGTGAGGTTGTCTTCATATTGATATTCAAACACGCTGATAATTATATTAAGTGGGCAGCCCTTAAGGGGACCGAGCTGGCATAAGCTGTGGTATACTGCCATCGCTTGGCGCAACGAAGTCAAAATTACGTATAAAAAATGAAAAAGATGAAGTAAACTAAAAGTATAAATAGAAAGAAAAAAATATGAACAAAACTATAAATAGATTAAAGTACAGCAGAAAACACCAAATAAACTGAAATAGGGAAAAGAAATAAAAAAATAGATGAGAAACAGTAAAGGTTGCCTTGCTTAGAACTCCCTTCAGATTTGGTACCACTAGAGCTAAGCTGCCCCAATTTTTTTTGTTATGTTTTTTGTTACGCTTCCCTTTACTGAGCTTGTGATATGCTGTATGTCTGCTCCCAATCCTACCTAAGACATTCGACGTAGGCCGGCGGTGAGTAATACATGAACAAGCATGCAGGGCGACAGCGAGGACTTCAACCGAGCGAAACTGTTGAACATCGGTTTCGTTGAAGCAACCGCCCTGTACGACTACCGATGCTTCGTCTTCCACGACGTCGACATGGTTCCCGTCGACGACAGAAATGTGTACGCCTGCCCCGAGCAGCCACGGCATCTGTCCGTGAACGTCAACAACAAATCCACGTAAGCCGACTAAACTCATAACAGTAGCACACCCGTTCTTTGTGTTTGCTTTGTCATAAAGAAGCGTCTAGATGCTGTCTGCAAAGCAATGACCAAATTGAAGATATTATTCAAAGAAAAATGAATCCAGAAGCTTCAGTGACAGCCGAGCGCGGCTGTCCAATTCTTCAAAGTTCCTTCGAGGTATTGTGTTCGAGCGGGATCAGTGATGTTCCGTACAACACCAAAGAGTTGCAATTCAGAGACATGAAACTTCACTATTTCTGGGATTATTCCCTACAAACATTGTCGAAATTTCCAGCATATTTCCCTACACAACAGTACTAATTTCCGCGTCCATCAACACACATACGTACTATAATTACACGTGTCTCACGCACTGGCGATGTTTGAAATCATGGCTATCGCCCCTCCACTGTAGCGCCACAAAAGCATGAATTTATTAAATCATATAGTGTTAAGGTCAGTGTTAAATTGTCACAATGTTAAGAACATGCCTAAAACGGAGCTGCTGTCGTTGTACGGGGGTGAAGGACTCCCTCAAGCCATTCAAATGTGTTTTTAATTCTCCTGATATCACAGTGTGCTGTGATGAAATGATAAACTCAGTTCAATTCAATATACTGTTAGTACACTGCACAATGTGGGCTTCAAGTCTAATACCAATAGTGAAGTAAAAATCAATCTGCGTAAGTATTAGAAACCAATCTCAAAGGCTATGCTTGCGTTGTGCATGCGCCAGAACCAATTAAAGCAGGTGAACGTGCACTATGACCACTCATTAACGGTCATCATACGACATTTTAACAATTCCTGAAATTACCTACAGCATCCCGAAGACTCGCTTTTTTCCTTTGGCTCAAAATGACTAGTGCAAATGCCCCGAAAAAGGGAAAATTCTCTGTACGGAACATCACTGAGAGGGGTGAGCATTTGTTTAATTTTCCTTTGATTGATATCAGCATTAGTTCGAGCTTTAGTAGTTGTCAGATGTGAACGCTGTGAGCGGTTCACAGACATATAGTAGCTATATGAGGACATGTTCATTGTGGTTAAACACCAAACGTTTCGCATACTCAGCTATTTGACGTAGAAAGATACGTTTGTCAATTTATCATCTCTGCCTACACAGGCTTCTGAAAGGGCCGTGAGTGGTGTCCCTTGGCAAGTTCATAGGCCAACGCGCTATAGACTATTTTGCCCAAGTGCAAGTCTTGGCACGTGGGCAATCAACGTGAAAAGTTCAGCGGTGACTGAACGGTGATATGCTGCTATATGCACAACGCTAATTATTATGACGCACTAGAATGTGAATCGAGTCAGCTTTTCGCCACCGCAGTGTATCTGTAAAACTGTTTGCACGACAGCGAAAATATCACAGTATATTGAAGAAGTGAATCATGGTGAGTGGGCTGTCACAGGTCCCGTTAACTAGGGAGGTGATCACCGGGCTAAGTACAAGGGCTGAAGTACCAGCCCCTCCGAACTGCAACTCGAAAGCATGGAAAATTTAGAAGTAGTCCAATTTGGCGCGCCAGCAGACGCCGGCTGTGGTCGAAAAAACACGTCAGAGCCGAGAGTTGATAAACAAAACAAAATTATATTCTTCAATAAGGAGATCAAACGATGCACAAATATGTACACTTGACAATAATTCAGTACAATGTTCCACCAACCAAAAGAACGGCCTACACAATACAACCAGCTAAACTCGAAACAACGAATACGTGCTACAATGCAATCGCATGCGTCAAACAACCAAGACACTTATTCAGTCCAAAATTCTTGAATCAAAATTGAATGTTTCTTTCCTAGGAAAAACTCACTCAAAGTCCAGCGCTGTTGTCGATCCGCTGTTCCCGAAGTTTCTCTTCCAGGAAACCTCATCTTGAAATGTCCGCACTCCAAGCGCCCAACTTCGTCGGAAACACGTCGGCTTCCCACACGTCGCGATTGCAGGACGCGTCTTCGCTCTCTAGCGGTAGACTCGCACTATTCTGCGGGTAGCACCAGCCTTCACCCTTCAGGCGGAAAGCCTCTTCATTACCTGCTTTGTTACTGACGTCAAACGCCTTCACAAAAACTAGGTGGAAAAACCCTACGCACTCTTGCGCAAATTCTTCGGCATCAGCATGAGTGTCGTCACACTCGTGCGTCAGCATAGCGTCCAACGTTGTAGTGACTTCGCGCCTGTGTATTAAACTAAACGGCGTCATTCCGGTAGTTTCCTGCCGGGCGGTATTGTAGGCGAAGGTCACATAAAGCAAGATTTCATCCCAGTTTTTGTGTTGTGTGTCGACATACAAGCAGAGCATGTCTGCGAGGGTCTTATTAAGCCGCTCTGTTAGTCCGTTAGTTTGTAGATGGTACGCCGTTGTTCTCCAGTGAGCTGTACCACTGAGCCTGAAAACCGACTCCAAATGTTCTGCTATGAACGCAGTTCCACTATCCGTGATGAGAACTGTTGGTGCATCGTTCCGAAGGACGACGTTTTTTATAAAGAAATGAGTCGCTTCTGCTGCTGTGACCCTCGGCATGGCTTTAGTTGTCTCATAGCGAGACAAGTAAACAGTGGCGACAATGATCTATCTGTTCTCTGTGGTAGAAGTTGGGAATGGGTCCAGGAAATCCTATTCCTATGTGGGCGAATGCCTTTGCTGGTACTATGGACGGAATGTAATAAGCCTGCCGGCCTGCCGGGGGTTGCTTTGCGTCTTTGACAGTCGGGCACAGGTTTGGACGTGATGTTTTACAGCAGCAGGTAGGTTCGGCCAGTAGTAACTGTTTTGCAGACGGGACAATGTTCGAGTGCAGCCAAGATGACTGGAGATGACTTCATCATGGCAGGCTTCCAGAATTTCTTTTCACAGTGATGCAGGGACTGACGAGTAAGTATGGGCTGCCGGTGGAAGAAAAGTTTTTCTTGTATAAGGACGTCGTTCCTTAAACAAAAAGATGGCAGTCCTCTCGCAAAAACTCGCGGCAAATCTTCACGTCGTCCTTCTAAGTCGATAAGCGGAAGCAGGTCAGGGTCACTGCGCTGCTCTTGTGAAATAGTGGCCGCGTTGATGACTGCTAAGAACGCGGCGTCCATAGACTCGTAATTAATAGCGGCAGGCTCGACGGGTGACCGCGTGAGACAGTCTGCGTCGGTGTGCTTCTTCCTGATTTATAAATTATGGTCATATCAAACTCTTCAAGCCGAAGGCTCCAGCGTGCTAAACGGCAGGATGGGTCTTTCAAGTTAGTGAGCCAGCAGAGCGAGTGGTGATCGCTGACTACCTTGAATGAGGCGACACGTTTTGAGAGGCGTCTGTGACACGTCACGCAATTCTGCATCACCACGCACCTTTCCTTCGAGATCTTTCAGGGCTTGCTCGGGCAGCCGATGTGACGGAGGTTAGTTGGTGAAACTACGCTTCCGAGGAGGAGAGACGGTGTAGCCGGGGAGTCTTTGGATGCTTGTTTTTTTCTTTAACGTTGATCTTGACGCATCTCTCTGGCGCATGGTATCGTCACCATAGCCAGAATTCGGCGGCGGGCGCTTTTCTGAGCGCTCGTTTGTGACATGGGCGAAGCTCCGGGAGATCCTCAACCCCCATACTTTTTGCTTTCTTCCTTCCTTTCTTTCATAACGAAATGCACTGCATGATTTTGAGAGATAGAGGCGAGAGCAAGAGCATTTTATAGCTATTGGAGCGTTGTGGCGAAAGAAACGGCGTGCCACAAAAGCACCCACTCTCATCGTTCTCCTCTTCTACCTATTGCCACGTTCTATTTACCAAGTTTTTGTTATCGTCCCAAAACACCACACGATTCTCAGCGCAAACCGCGCCTGCAGTTTTCGAGAAGGTTCCGGACTGTAATAGATCATTTCTATAAGATCACGCCCACTGTGCGAACGGTACATATTGTTCTGGAACCTACGCTACCGCCAGCGATAACGCTAGAACATTTGACGGCAAGAGTGTAAATGCCGACGCGCTTCGCCGCTTGTCAGTTGTTGTTGATCGAAGGCCCACGCTCCGTTCGCCGCTATCAGTCCGAGACAGCTATCTGTGCAAGACTGCTGCTGTAATTGGACTTTCCGTTTACCGGGCACAGGTTCGCCGAAATAAACAGTTAAATCCCAACACGAAGTCTCTTGTCTTCGGCCACGTCACGACCCCGTGACATCTGGTGGAGGTGCTGCTTCATTCATGTACCGGACGCCCCCGTCAAGCCGTGAACCCAGCCCACGTCGCGGAGAAGACACCGACGCCAACCAGGAGTAGCGAACAAGCCGCAGACAGCAAGGGCTACCACCGGAGTGCGAGCTTCTACAAGACAAGGCGCGGAAGACCAAGGCCATGACCGCGACTGCAGCGACAATGACAACCGCAGCGTCCCAGCCCACGATGGTCATGCATCAATCCAGGGAACCACCAATTTTCTATGCGTCATCGTTCAAAGACCCGGAGTCCTGGCTAGAAACATACGACCGTGTGGCCGCCCTCAACCACTGGGACCATGACGAAAAGCTGCGTCGTGTGTTCTCCTATTTGGAAGACACCACAAGGACCTGGCTCGAAAATCGGGAGTCCACGCTCCGAACGTGGGATGTTTTCTGCGGGGCATTCCTGCAAACTTTCGCGAGCGTCGCTCGCAAAGAGAGGGCCGCTGCTTTATTAGAGACCCGGGTTCAGCTACAAAATGAAAATGTCGCCATTTTCACAGAAGAAATGACCCGACTATTCCGTCACGCTGACCCAGACATGCCAGAGGAAAAAAAAGTTCGTTTCCTCATGTGAGGGGTCAAACAGGAGCTCTTCGCGGGACTGATAAGAAACCCACCAAACACCGTCCAAGAATTTGTAGCCGAAGCGACTACTATCGAAAAAGCCCTGGACATGCGCACCAGACAGTATAATCGTCACCTGACTCCAGAATGCGCTGCTGCTCAAGCCAGTGACTGCGACAACCTGCGTGAAACGATCCGAGCGATCGTGCGGGAAGAGCTG